TAAAAAAATCGAGATAACCCGAGTCATTTTTAAAATTTATAAAAAAAATCATTTAAAGAGCAAAAAAACAAGATATTGATATCTAATTAAATAAACATTAAAAAATAAAACATGAAAAACATCAACATAAAAAAGAGGGGAAACAAGGAAATTGAGGTGAATCTCCAAAACTTGAGTTAATTTCCTAAAGTCTTAATAGTGAAATATTAGATCCAGACTCAATCAAGAAGATTAATCCTTAACCAATTTAATGCTAAAAAATAAAATCAGAAAAAAAATCAATTTGAAAAACTTTCCAAAAAAAAAAAAAGCAATCATACTAATAAAGACAAAATTTAATAGGAAAAAAATAAAGAATGATGAAATCATAAAAAAATTCAATTTTAAAAATTATTTCAAATAAAAAAATAGCAATCAGAAGAATATAAACTAAATTTTATAAAATAAAAATTTAAAGAATGATGAAATTAAAAATCAATAAATTTAATAAATTATTTTAAATAAAATAAATAATAATTAAAAAATAAAAAATAAAATTTAAATAAATAAACTAAAGAGTTGGTTTGAAAATATAAAAGGAAAAGAGTGAAAGCAAAGATGAGAGGGCAAAAAAAAAAAAAGTACCAGACTAGAGATTTATTGGGCACGTCATCTAAAAATAGGAAGTTAATGAGATTGTGTTTTAAAAGTCTTTTTTAAAAAAATTAAAATTTTTTATTTATTTAAAATTAATATATTTTTAGTATTTTAAAATTATTTTTATGTGTTGATGTCAAAATTATTTTTTAAAAAATAAAAAAATATTAATATATATTTTAATATAAAAAATTATTTAAAAAACAATGATAACTATATTTTCTAATATGGATGGAAAGGTAAGACATAGGCCTACAACTTTCATATGGAGCCCAAGATCTAAAAAGGCCATTATCAAGTCCAAATTGTAGAAACAACAAAGAAGCCCGAATCTGTCTTCCAGCCCGAGCACTGTTCGGTATTTTGGCCATATCTGGAGTTCTAGAAGTCCAAATGAGCTGAATTTTTTACACAAGAAAGCTGAGACAATTGCCTACAACTTTCATGTTTGCAACTGGCTCCAGTTTTGACGTTATCAATGACGTTTTGGGCAGACAAGAGAAGATAAGGATTGTCACCAAGTCAAAAGTTGGCCACCCACTTATCAATTAGTCATCAAATCAATAGTTCTCAATTTTGGCCTATAAAAGGAGGCATTTGCCATGCATTTAGGCATCTTGGTTTCCAGATCAAGATCATTCTCTTCCTTTCTCTCTTTGTATTTTTTATGCTTTGTTTTCATTAATATTAAGTTTATGCCTTTCATTTCCTTTCCTTTACTTAGTTAGCTTTTATGTTCTTATTTTGTTTATCTATTTTGCTTTCTTTCATTATGTCTAGCTAAGTTAGTTATGTCAAGGTGAAAAGGTTACACTAATGGTGTAAGAATAAGTATAATGTAAACTTAATATGGACTTTAATGTTTGATACTAACATGTTTTATATTTGTTATCTTGTTCACTCTTTAATACTTTGCTTGTTAAATGATTAATCTTGATTTATGTTGTATAACACTTGGTACAACAAATGCTTGGCACTTTCATAGCCCATAATGTATGGTATAACCGACACCTGAGCTATGAAAGGAACTTGATTTGTTGTTAACATAAGTTATAATTATGAATGCTTGACGAGATTTACAAGTATTAGCATTAATCGAATAAGATGACTAATGTAATCATGTTAACAATATATCATCTGATTGGAACCTCCTTTGTGTGTGGTTTCTAATTGAATAATAAGAGTTTATACTATACTTGTTTGACATACCATTAGTGGAACCTCTAACCTTGACATTTGTTATTATCATTATTTAATCCTTATGTTAATTTTTCCATCTCAAAGTTCTCATCAACTTCTTCTTTTTCTTCTTCTTCTATTATTATTATTATTATTATTATTACTACTACTACTACTATTATTGTTGTTATTGTTATTATTGTTGTATTATTGTTATTTATAATTTGTACAATTAACCTCTATGTGGTTCGACCCCGGTCTTGCCGGGTTATTTATTACTTCGACACTCCTGCACTTGGAAGAAAATATCAATCTTTTAGTCGTGTCACCTGTGTTTTTGGCAAGTAACAATTGTAAACCGTGTTATAGTCTTTTTACATTGAACTGTACGAGTTAATGCGTGCTCTTAAGATGAAGAATATCTCTGGGAAGACAGAAGCAGGGAGCTTCGTATTATCATGGTTAAATACTTGGTCTTGGTGTTCAAGAGAATGTATTTAAAGTAATGTTAGTGTATCGAAGTAGAAAGTATAAATTATTTGTTCGTAACTTTATTTTTTTTATTTTTTAGTTTTTAGTTAAAAAAATAATTGAATTCTTATATTAAATTTAAAAAACCTCGATTAACATTAATTGTAGCCATTAAAAAATAAATATTAATATTAATAAATTATATTTGATAAAAAAATCTTATTTAAGTGTTTTTTATCATTCATATGGCATGAACTTGTAGATACAAGTTTGATAAGGATTTTATTTTTAATTTTAGGCCTATGATTGTTATTTGAAGTTATTTATAGGTTTGTCACTTTATTGAGGTATATAATTTTTTTTTAAATACTGCAAGTAAAAAAAAAAGTTGAAAATTAAGTGTTTTTTTCCATAAAAATCATAACCCCAATTTTCATCAACCCTCCATTTGCTTGGAACTAGAACAAGCAATACATCATACATGGAACACATTACATGTTTTTTTATCAAAAAAAAAAGAAGAAGAAGTTGTTCATCCTTTTTTAAGGGGAAAAAAAAATCAACCTAGCCACATGGCCCTACATTGATAGGCCTCTTGCATTGATATTTTTTGTCTTTTAATTTTTTATTTTATTTTTATTATTTAAAATTGAATTATTTATTTATTTATTTATTTCATTTTAAAAAAGTTTATGATGCTTTTTTTATAAGAATATGATTTAATTTTACTTAATTTATGAATAAATTCTTAACATTTTTTTATATTAGGAGGTTTTTTTTTTGTGTAGCTCTATTTAATTTTTTTCTTTTTTTAAATATTAAATAAAATAGGAGTGGCAAAAAATAAAGTTATTATATACAATTGAGTCTATATTCTGGGTTTGAATATCAAATCTCTACATTAACATCTATTACTCATCTTTTCCATTTAACCTTTGATTAAATATCATTTAGTTTTTATTTGAATTTTATATAAAATGATAATATTTTATTCTAATATGTACAATCTTACATAATATTTTTATTTTATTTTATTCAATAATTTTTATGTGTATATATATTTATTATCATTTGATTAAATAAAAAATTAATTTTAATAAACAAAATTATTAAATACAACCGATTAAATAACTTGTATTACCATATCAAATATATTTATCTATATTTGTATATCAATTTTTTTCATTTCAGTTTGAGTTATCATTGACAATTTTTTTTCTTTACATTTACTAGCACAAATAATTTTCTTTTAGATTTATTATTAGAAAAAGCCTTTATATTCTTCATTTTTTTTGTTAAAAAAAATATATGCGATAGCTAGATCTTGTAAATCACCTTCTGTGTCTGTTAAGTTCTTCTTAACTTAAATTAGATAAGCTAGTATTTTATATATATACATATATAATTTCAAGAGATAAACTTCCCATACTGAAAAGTTTCAAAATGAAAATTTGCCTCATCGAACATTCAATAATACATGTTGTTGAGGCTAAAGCGCATGTCCATCTTCAGCTATCTACAACTCGTTCCAAAGTTCCTTTGTAATCTTTGCCAGTGTCTTCAGTAGCATGATGCTCCGACAATATTGACCAAGTGAGAGGGTAACAAGTATACAAGTACCTGTCTATTTCCATGAGATTACATGAAGATTTGCTTGAGTTATAATCTATGAACAAGGTTGTAGAAATTTGATGTCAGAGACTTCTCCAGAGGCAGTGCCGACAACAAAGCCAACTACTAGCAATCAGATAAATGCTTTTCAAGCAACCATATTTGATGCTTGATAATAAATGACGACTCATTAATTGCATTTAGTCTTCAACCTTGAATCACATTTGCGATCAACAAAAGTTAGCTTGTCCTAGTTTAGAAGCAAAAAAGCAGAATCGAGAACAAGAAAACTCTTTTTCTTGGGAAAAATATGAAATAGCATCATGTTGGAAAAGACTGAACCAGAAGCCCAATGCATAATAATAACTCTTAACGCTTTTCTCTTCAATATCAACATATTCGAACAAAAATAAGTTGAGATGCTTACAACATTTCTGGCCAAAGAGAATGCTGTATGTATTTGTCTCGTTCTAACTATAATACTGAATCTCAAATAGTGAAAATGAATTAAAAACAAAGAATGCCTACCTAATGGTTTTTATAAACCAAATGAACAAAATGGATCTAAACCCACCCCTCTGACTTCTAGCGCTGCCATATTGCTCAGTTCCTAGATGTAAGCAACAAAAGCTGTCCTGCAGTTCATCAGCGTGAGATGGTATAAGCATCAAGATTCAAAACATTGTGGAGGAAACTAATAAACCTGCAAGCAGCCTAAAACGATGGCCAAAAGAAAAATAATAAAACAAAAGGGAAGAGAAATAAAGATAGTGATCTTCTACTAAGAACATTATAGCTTATATAAGCAGAACAGCTATCGATTATTAGTTGCTTCCCTATACTGTACTGAGAAAAGAATCTCTATTGATCAAAAGGATTAAAGTGGCATAGTAGTTTTTTTGGCTTCAACAGAGTGCTCTAATTTGAATATTCAAAAGAATGTATTCGATTAGCATGGAGAGAGATGGAGAGAGAGATTTAATTACCACAAAAGACATATCTTTTATGCGTTTGCCTTGTCATCAAGATGATGTCAAGCAAGAACACCCTAAGAGGGTCAAATTCAGAACCACATTATGTTGTCAGCTTTACTGAAAAGTGACAATATCTCTATGACCAAAGTCTACCAAATAAAATGCCACTAAAAACAATGGCACCAAACCATTTGTTTGACACAAATCTGCAGCAAGAAAACAAACGCAATAGGAAGTAGTGAGTTGATCATATTACAAGCTTGAAAGTGGTTAAACGAATCATTTGAAGCACAAATAATGCTTTGTGGAATCATGAAACTCTTATGAGCTATAGACATACTTTCTATTGCAATCAGCCCGGCATGATAGGTCAACCGTCCATATTTGCCAAGCTAATTGACCCGAAGCAGCTGCCAGAAATGCATAAAATGACCACCCTGCTCGTGTTTTGTAAGGAAAAGGAGAAGAAAACGCAGATTACCATGGGCAAAACTAAAGTAAATGGAGCATGTACATCAGAAGCATAAAAAGCAAATACCAATATCCGCATTGAATCCACAGAGGGCAAGACTACTAATGCATGCAGTTCCAAACCCAGTGATCCACTCCTTTGTTGAATCCCCAAATCTCAAGGCCGTCGATTTAACACCCACTTTAAGATCATCTTCCTTATCCTTAATAAACACCAAGGTTGATTTTAGAAGAGCACAAAAATACAACACTCTGCAAACTATGAATCAAACAAATTTAGTACACGACCTCAAAAAGACATGGAGAGCAGAACACCGCAAAAAGAAAGAAAGACATGTTTATATAAAAATCAAAAAACAAAAACCCATCACCTAAACTATGACAATTTTAAGTGGAAAAATATGAATTATTTGAAACAAAAAAAAAGTGGATAAACTGCAAGTTGTTTAAAACAGAATAATCTGTGAAGAAGGACAATATAGGCTGAAATAGAAAACTGATAAACCTTGTAAATCAGAAACAGCAGTTATTCAAAATAAGCCATCAAGTTAATAAAAAATAAACATGAGAGAGAGAGAGAGAGCATTCAAAGCTCCAAAATTACAACAGTTTTAATTACTGCAGCGGCCCATTGTTGAAAGCTTTTTGCACAAAAGAATGTACTATAACTCTAGGAACACCAAGAAGCATGGGCAGAAAACGAAGAGGTTTCACTTCACACAAGGAAAAAGCGTTAGAGGGTTAATGGAGTCTTATTATTTACAGTTCAGGAACCATATATTACATGGTATAGCTGGAAAATAAAGGGCTAATGAAAATCACCTTAAGCTATGATGCTATACCTGATGAGCATATACTGTATCATACACCAGGGTCCACAATACTCCACTAGCATATAGTGGTACCACAATAGCTGGATCCAGACTCCCCTTAACTGCAGACCAACCCAGTAAAGCTCCCCAATTGAATGTTAAACCAAGATATGCTTGAGGCTGCAACCAAAAAATTGCATTTAACAGGGTCATCACCAGATTTTCTTGAACTTTACATCAAAAGTCAAAAAGCAAAAAAAACTTGCGCGCACATGAGAATACAGAAAGCAAATAGATAAAAATCTTTACCCAAAATGTAAATCTCTTCATAAGGGGATATGAGAAGACTAGCAACAAGGATGAACCTCCCAAAATACGGCTGTTAGAAGAAAATAAAGTAACAGTTAACCCAAATAATTATGCATGCTCAATGCAAGGTGACAACATTGAATTTGAATAGCTTGCAAACTACATGCAACTTCTAAGCGTGATTGAAGCAGCACTAACCTATAATTATTCAGTTGAAGAAGAATCCCAAGACCCAAAAACAATTGAAAACCAAGAAAACAAAGCCCTCGAAATGGCGTCAAAAGACCACTGGCAACTGGCCTTAGCTTTGTCCTTTCGACCTACACACAAAAATTCCAACAAAAATAGTTACATTTTTCAAAAGGTGAAGCTGTTAGTCTAATTTTTTGGAGATTTTCTTGCCTAATTATCGAAACCAAAATTCACAAACTTTATTGCATACACGAACAAGACGAGCAATTACAGCTAACGAAAACATCAGTATCTCATTTAGCAATACAGTACGCAGTTTCATAAAAACCTTACCTTCGTATCAATATCTCTATCTAGCAAATCATTTATAGTACACCCAGCTCCTCTTAAAAGCAAAGCCCCACAACCAAATAACGCCATCATCTTAAAGTTAGGTACACTTCCAGGTTCTGCTGCCAATGAGATTGACCTACATAACAAATTAAAAATGTTACAAAGATCCTAACACTTTCGCAAAATTTCTCAAATTCCTTCATTTTCTTTTCTCAGCAACGAAGCAAAACCCAGAACAATTAACACAATAAAAACACAAATCCTTACCACATACAAGGCCAAGCAAGAAGCCAGGTCCCAATGGGCTTATCAAGCCTAGCTAAATGTGCATAAGGCCTGACTTGTCTAGGCAAATAGACATCAATCCAAGACTTCTCTCCTCTTTTTGGCAACTCTCCATTGTTTCGCTTCTGTTCTTTCTCTTCTTTTGTGCTTGGAATAGTGGAGATTTCCTTGATGAAGGTTAAATAAGGGCTAGGAATTTTATTTTGGCGGGAAAACTGAGCGAAATGGTGAAGTACATAGTGGTGATAGATAAAATTAGGGCTAGGGTTCGATTTGGGGATTACGGTGGCGGTTGGCAGAGAGAGTGCGGACGACAGGATCCTGGTGGCGCTACAGGAAGCGCGACGGAGTAAAAACGACGCCATTTTGAGGAGAGAAAGCTCCAGTTTTGAAATGGTTAATTTATATGGCGCAAAATTTGACCTTGTTAGGCTTCTTACCCGCCTAGGATCCACATCTGTAGCACCTTAGGTTGGTGTTTGTAGACTATTCAACCCAACTCATGATGACTCGGGCTCGAGTAAAATCGGCTTGGGCCCAGTTTTCCCTGAGTCAATAAAACCTGACCACCACAAATATAAAACTAGGCAAACGGCTCAGCTTATAATTATGTAATTATTTAATTCTCCAGTATGCTATTATATTTTTCTTATTACATTACACTATTAACTAAAACATCTCTGTATTGTAGCATATAATAATATGAAGCAAGACGCAGTTTAATGTGCATTGCATCCACAACAAAGTATAGTATGGTCTTTTACCTTTTTATTTTTTTATTTATTTAATTCCTATAATTTTAAGTTTCTAAGTTTTAGTCCTAAATTTTATTTTTATTATGACCTGATTTTTAGGTGTCGAGGAGAGAAAGCCATTAAAAAAAAAGAGAAAAAAAAAATATTTTTATTATGACCTGATTTTTAGGTGTGGAGGAGAGAAAGCCATTAAAAAAAAAAGATTTTGAACAATCGCATTTTTATTATAAAAAATCATTCATCGAATCAATAATTTTTTTTTTAAGAAAAGAGTGCAATAAAGATATTGTTGTCTTTTAAACATAAAAAAGTGTGAAAGGGCTCATTAAGGTTTTTATTATTTGATTTGATTCTCAATTTTTAGATTATTAAAGAATATTTTGGAGCTGGAAATTAGGTTATTGAGATTTCTATAATGTTTTTTGGGTTTTTCAAATTAAAACAAGTTGAAATTTGAATTTTTGGATTCCAACATTGATTTTTCAAACAACAAAAAATGTTTTAGTGGGTGACACATCATTTACCAATCATACAACAGGTTATCTATTCTTTTTTTATAAATACTACATACGCCTAGTCTTTTTCCTTTTAGGTCATGCATGTCTATAGGCTTTTTTAAGATTGTGTTAACAGTTGCATTTCAAAGTATTTTTTTACTTATAAATATATTAAAATAATATTTTTTTTCATTTTATAAGTTGTATAGGGTTTGATTAAAATGTGAACTGGTCGACTTTATAAATAAAAAAACTTGGAAGATCGATAAAAATATAGTTTGATAAAAAAAACTCAAAACAATATATTTTTAAAAATATTAAGATGACAAAATATTATATTAATTTGGGTCAACTCAAGGTAACTCTTCAAATTTGTGATCTAAGTCATGAGATCTAAATAAGTCTATAGAAAGTAAATCAAACCAAATCATGAACCATAATTCTCAATTAATCTAATATTGAATAATAAAATCTTAAAATTTTCAATTAAAAAAGACAAAAAAAAGTCCTAAGTCAACCCAGGTTAACCTGTCGAACCAGTGACAAAGGCATTAGACCAGGATAACTTAATAAAAAATAAATTAAAACAAATCATAAAATCTAATTCCTAATTAACATGATGTTAAAGTATGAAATTAAAAAAATATATATTAAAAAAAAAAGATCCAAAAAAGTGACCCAAGTCAACCAGGTTGGTTAACCCATCAAATTTGTAACTCAGGTTATGAAACTAAAATAACATTATAAAAATAAATCAAAAAAAATTATTAAGTATAATTCTCAATCAATCATTGAATGATCAAATATAAAAAAAATAATTTAAAAAAAGATAAAAAACTTGAGTTAGTCAGGTTAACCCATCAAACTCACAACTTAGGTCATACTGTCAAAATAATTTAATACAAAGAAAATCAAAATAAATTATTAAGCTCAATTTTTAGTAAACCAAGTGTTAAAGAATGAAATTGAAAATTAAAAAAAAAAATCCAGTGAATAGTGATATGTGAGGAAGGGAACAATAATTCCCTCCCCTCAATTAATTCTAGTTAACTAGATTATTTAAATGTGTTACACTGAGAGTCAGATGAAATTTTTAAAAAACTGTTAAAAATATTTCTAGACATTGCTAATTTGTTTCAAATAAGGAAAGAAAAACAAATCATGTAGGGATTAACCCGTCAAGTCAATCAAGTTAACCCATCAAATCCATGACTTGAGTCGTGATATTAAAATAAATTTATAGAAAGCAAATTAAAATAAATTATAAAATTAAATTATTAATCAATAGTCGAATGAAGAAATAGAAAAAAAATAATTAAAAAAATCAAGTTAGTCGTGTTAATCCACCAAACCTGTAACTTGGATCATGATACTAAGATAACATTATAGAAAAAAAAAATATGAAGTTCAGTCTCTTGTAAACCAAGTATTAAAGGATGAGATTGAAAATTAAAAAAAATATATAGTTTTAGTGAATATTAATTTGTGAGGTGAGGAAAAATGATTTCCCCTCCTCAATTAGTTCTTGTTAACTAGATTATTCATTTGAACTATGCTGCAACTCAAATTATTTTTTTTAAATATATATATATAGATTGCTAACATGTTTTCAAGAAGGAAAAAAAATTAATTGTGTAGGGATTGACCCATTGTGACTCGTTCAACTTGACAAGTTCAAACGCAACATGGATAATTTGAATAAAAAAACATAGGTCGACTAAAAAGATTTTCAAGATGACATTTAAAAAATATATTTATTGAGATGACAATATATTAAATTAAAATTGATCAACCCAAGTTAACATATAAAATTCATGACTTGAGTATTGAGACTGTGATAACCTTGTAAAAAGAAAATAAAAAATATAATAAAAATTAATTTTCAATCAACCTAATTTTGAGAAATAAGATTTTGAAAGTGAATTAAAAAAAAACTCAAATCAACCTGGATCAACCTACCAAACCTAGATAATGAGACTAGAGTAATGTTTGGAAACATGGCTCAAAGGTTGTTTGGCCAAAAAATTGATTGTTTCTTAAAATTAATTTTTGTTTTATATTTTTGAATTTTTTTAATGTGTTGATGTCAAAAATAAATTTTAAAAGATAAAATAAAATATTTTATATATTTCTGAGTAAAAAAACATTTTGAAAAACAAGTGCTACCACAATATCAAATGCTGCCCAAGGATATCTCAATAGAAAAAAATTAAAACAAATTATAAAACTCAATTCTCAATCAATTTAATATTAAAAAGTAAAATTAAAAAAAAAAAAAACAAAAAAGGACCTAAAAACGCTGAGTCAACCTTGGTCAACCTATCAAACTCTTGACCCGGGTTATAAAATTAAAATAACCCTATAGAAAAAAAAATTATAAAATTTAATTCTTAATCAACCCAAATATTGAATAAAAAAAATTTAAAAAATAATTATAAAAAAACATTATAAAAACCTGAGTCATTTAGTTTAACTCGTAAAACTTGTAATCTGAATTATAAAACTGAAATAATTTTATATAAAATAAATTATAAAACTTGATATCTAATAAATTTAATGATAAATAATAAAATTTTAAAAAATTATTTATTTTTTAAATCAAATAATATCCGGTTTAAGAATAACATGGGAGGGGATGAATAATGATTTCCCCTCGCCAATTATTCCTGTTAAATTGTACACACAAAGTTTTATGAAATTAAGCAAACATTGACAAATAGCTATTTTGATAATTATTTCCATTTACAATCTCTATTAAAATCCTTAATTACTCGAGGAAACCTCATGTCCATGTTGTAGAGGAATTGCAAGCTTGGGAGCTTTTAGGTAGAGTTACTGTACCTTTATTTATAAAGGATCAGATGACCTATTTCGTTAATATTACATATTTGCCATTGAGCTTGAAGCCCCACTGATGCCACATGACGATCTAGATAAAATAAGGTAAGCAGAATTTCCGTGCGGCATGAGGCAATTTTTAGTTGGCAATTTTTTTTTATTTCTTCGAGACTTGACAATGACAAGAGGACACAGGGAGAGTAGTTGATGTCTGATCCGCATATGATGCTCGAAAGATAAAAAAACATTCTTGTCTTCTGGATAAATGCGGATTACAGAAAAATCTAGATCAAATGGTCTATTTTGTGGAACCAGGGATGAGGATTCTCTAATCTCTAGGTTATCTTTTGATCTCGATCCATCCCATGAACTCGTTTCGCGTTCTTCTAGTAGCTTCATGCTCTGAAGAAACACTACGATCCAGCACCAAGCAAACTGTCAACCTGCAGACATACAGAATCTAGCAAACGAAATGTAAGAGCAATTGATAAGAGGATGAACTCCGAAAGAGAAAGCAGCACTTTATGTTGTCACCATGATCAGAAACGACGAAGAAAAAGAAAAGGGAAAAAGGTTATTTATCGAAACACCATTCTCCCCATCCTCATCTATCTATGGACAATGATGAATGGAGAAAATTGAGGGAGATGCACTTCGTTTTTTCCATCATATCATTAAAACTGACAGCATTTTTTCTACACCATAATCTCCGGCTGGCGAAAGTCTCCCGATGATTCAAATTCTCGTAGGACAGTTTCTTACGCCGGTGTTTACTTACTGTTTCGATAGAGGAGAAGATGTGCTCTCTCCGTTGAAAGAAACTATCTTATAAACAAATTTATTTTTATACAATCTTAATCTCAGAAAATATTATGATAAAAAATAAATGTTGTTTTTACACTAGTCATAACAAAATATACTGTAATAAGATCGATGGTCATAGTATCTGTTAGGGAAAAAGAATTGCATCCCAAGCAAAAAAGTAACACCGAGGACGGTGATCTTTAAGAGTACAAAAACAGCAAGGGGAGGCTAGTTCATCGTTTCACAAGTTTTTTACTAGGTCTTCATCCTGAGACCTAAACAAAAGCCTACTCCCTTGAATGTATTGAAGAGTAATCTAAGCACGGATCCACAGAGAAAAAAAAATGAAAAACATGCATTTGGCCCACATTTGAGATGGAGAAATCCAACATCTGCTTACATGTCGGGAACATGGATCCATAACGTGAAGCATGATTGCATGAATTAAATGCTGACAGCCTAAAACTATTTTACGCAGTAACGATAGAAGATTAAAAGCAT